TTAAAGGAAATTGTAGGACGTTACAGAAGTATATGTTATGCTTCAAGGATATCATAGAGAAACGATATATTGTGTGAGTATTTTCTGTATACCTTATCTTATCTTACCTTACCTATACCTCAAATATTATTTTTATTCTGTTTATGGTTTGAGAAAAGACAAATCTTATCATTGCTAGTAGATTATACAGAATGCACCTTAAGGAGGAAATAAAGGAAACGCTCAATACAACAAGGCCTTGTTATTGGAGCCACTCTCTGTAAAGGCAAACCCAGAGTCCTGACCCGAAGATGTTTAGCTCAAGAAAGACTTGACTCACATTTTAAATGTTGAACCTATTAAATGAAGAGTCTAATAGATTTTGTGTTAATCCAATGTCACTTTGTTGTACGTAGCTAACGATAGGATACATTCAAATAATGATCAATAATAGCAGTTGCTAACATGCTGCAAAAATTATGGCTTGGCCATCAATGGGACGGAGCTCAGGAAAATAGAAGAGGCTGTTCTAGCTGCATTATAATGAAAGAATCACAATATTTTCTTTGATGTGGTTTTCTTGTTAAACTGATTCATGCATGCTGTGCATTTTTAAAATAAATCGGATGTAGTGGCATATAAGCTGCCTTACATTCTAGAAAATGTGTTGGCTTTAAGTGCCTCTAAATTAATAAAGACTTAGTAGTTATCTGAGTGTTTTTGTTACAAATGTTTAATAATAAAACTATTTTAATTTTAACTAGGGTTTTGAACTGTTTGCATCACAGCTTTCAGTGCACTGGGGCCCAATACATGAAGCTGGTGCCCTTTGAGTCTTCAGCAGCAGACTTCCCACAGCTCTGTCTGTGAGCAATGTCTCAGAGGCTGCACAGCTTTGGTGTTTAATTTACAATGTAAGGAGGAAGAGAAATTAATGCCATTTAACCAACATTTGAAAAAAGGAAAATAGTTACATCTCAAGTGAGAACTAATAAACTTACCAACATTTTTTCTGCACATTTCAATTCAATTAAAAAGTCTTATAATTTCATAAAGAGTTTTATTGTAAATTTTCATTTTGCAATATTTTTAAGTTACAAAATGTTTTCAGGCATTTGATTTATTTCACATCTGAAGACATGGATCAGATCTCTTTTTCAAAATAAAATGATCAAAACAGTCTTGATGCTGTTGCATCCTGGTCAACTGGTCCTTTTTTGTTTTGGGTAGTTTTACTTAAGCCTGTTTTTGTTGGTGGTTGTTAATAATCTTGTTTAACAAAATTTGTTAATGTTCATTAAAGTTTTTGTATGTTAAAACTTGTTGTTGAAGTATTCTAATTATTGATGTTCAAACTCTTTGGGTACATTTTGTATCAGTATTCAGCAGAAAGCATTTTGCTATCAGCTTCTGACCATCGGAGTTCACTCACCTCTGCTGATCCTGCAGCTCAGAAGAGAGATCAGCACTGAAGAGAAACCAGAGATTTAACATAAAACCAGACCAGACTTGAAAAAGTTTGAGTTCTGCTGCTCACTGCAATATCTTCCAAATATAAATAATTTAATATATATATTATTGTGTACATTAAATGTCTCAGCAGGATTATGTACAAGAATACATTTCCTGTAGAACAAAAGTTTATTAATGCTACGTTCTGTTAATCGTTTGTTCCAAAGGCTTAATTATTAAAGTAACTTTTTAAAGATGTGATTTTCTTTATGTCTGTCTGAATGAAGGAAAAAAAAACATTAAATATGTTTGTTCTGTTCTGCTTCAATGCTGTAAGAAGTGGTAGTTATTTCATTTTTGTAGCATAATGAAGCTTGTTGCACCAGTTGTGGTTATTTTTCTTAGTTGAGTTTTGTCTTTTTTCAGGTAAATTCTAAAGTGACGTTGTTTTTCATCAGATTGTACTTACAGAGCAGAAAAGCTGTCTGTCCCATCGCTCCTCCACTCAGTCAGTCCAGTTAATCTCTTCCTCTCTGTAGGTGAGAGCAGTGACTGTGTAGAAGCTCATCTGGTTTTGCTTCTTCACTCAGAGCTCATCCGGAGACACGGGGCCCTACACAAAGAGTTTAATCACATGCAGGAAGTGACAGCGCTGCAGGCTGAACATGAAGGAGGGCTGATCTGAGATCACTGAGAGACAGATTCATTAGAAACAAGGAGGTAAAGTTCCTCAGTGGAGTTTCTCTCCACTCTGTAAATATCTGCGTGATGAAGATTTCACTTTTCAAAAACATTTTGTAGAAGTTTAGATTAAACTTTCCTGGGTTTCCCTCTTACTTCTGTTGTTGTTGTTGCAGTGACACAGATGTCCTGCATGATGCAGTAACATTCACTGTGCAACTAAACTGTGGTTCATCTCTGATGTTTAATGATCAGTGTGAGTCCTGTTTTACATTTATCATCTGGACTTTTGGAGTTTTGCACAGAGAAACAGTGATGGGGGAAGGAAACCTGTTCAAACATTTGTGTTAATGGTTTCACAGAGTCCTCCTGAAACAGATGCATGTGTTTATACTGAAAGAACATCAAGTTGAAAAAGTAATTTTGCTAAATGTGTGCGTTTCCCAGACGTGCTTCTCCTGTGCAACGTCTTCCAGCTCCTCCTGTGGGATCCCAAAGTATTCCCACCCTATATGAGACATATAATCCCTCAGTGTTCTGGGTCTGCCCCGGGACTCTTATCAGTTGAATGTACCCAGAAAACCTTTAAAGGAAGCCACCCAGGAGGATCCCGACCAGATACCTGAACCATCTCAAGGTTGGAGAAGCAGATGTAGTCTGAGTTCTGTCTGGATGTCTGAGCTCCTCACCCTACAAGGCTGAGCCCAGACAACCTACGGAGGAAGGTCATTTGGCTGTTAGAATCTCATTCTTTCAGCGACTACCCAAAGCTCCTATCTAAAAGTAGTGAAGGTCTGATCTAGAGCCCCGCACATCAGCCTCAGCTCGACGTTTATTTAGGGACTGGCCACGCTCTGTGGTGAAACCTTGATTTTTGTTGCACAAACAACCTGCATTTTAACTTGTGATTTGTTTAGACTGTATAGCCTGTTGTGAGGAGCAGCAGCCTCTGATGATCAAGAATGCCTTTTTACTGTGGTGGTGATAATAAAAGTTTAAACGCAGTGTTTTATATCTATGGATTCTTTTATAGGCTGGTCAAGTGCTGATTTTAGAGCCTAAATCAAGCATCAACTCATTAATGGCCACTTGGCCGTCACACAAAACAACCCACATTAATTTAACAGACCAAATAAAGACTCTTCTCATAACGGTGCAGTTAAGCTTGGGATCCACTCTCTAAAGATGAACATGCTGGATGTAACACATTACTCTGTTGGCTGCAGAGTAACTCTGCTGACATCTGCTCGTTTAAAACAAACTCACATTCAGAGAATCAACCTGACTTCCTGTTAATACACTTTATTTAACTACTCAGGTAACTTTTAGTAACTGGTGCACTGGATTTAAATGTAAATTTATTAAATGTGTTTTCAGTTACAGGGCAGATGCACTTTGGGGGTAGAGATGATGACACCTACAAGTTCCTGAGGGTGCACCTCAACAACAAACTGGACTGGACAGACAACATGAGGCCCTCTACAGGAAAGGACAGAGCAGGCTGTTCTTCCTGAGGAGTCTCAGGTCCTTCAATGTGTGCACCATGCTGCTCTAGATGTTCTACCTGTCTGTAGGGGCCAGTGTCATCTTCCTCGCTGTGGTGTGCTGGGGAGGGGGCGGCGGGACTTGTGGCGCCAACAAACTGGGCAAGCTGGTGAGGAAGGCCAGCTCGGTGGTGTGGATAGAACTGGACAGTGTGGAGGCAGAGACTGAGCGGAGGATGAGAGGGAAGCTGAAAACTATGAAAGGCCATTTAGGGTAAAAACATTGAAAATCAGACGCACACCACTGAAAACTGTCACACACACACACACACACACACACACACACACACTGACATTGTGCGCACATAGACTGAAAACACGGAAATACTGACACATTGACAATGTGCACATACACACGAAAATGATCATACATGCACCAACAAAACACCAAGCACATGCACTGCAACCAGGCACAGACACACTGAAAATGTTCGTACACACATTAAAAAGGGCGCACACCACCGACTGACACACTGAAATATGTGTACATCCACATTGACAAAGTACACATACACACTGAAAATATTCACACCACACACTTCACACAGAGTAGGATACAGGCTACTTGTCTGTGTGTATCAATGGTCAAAATACATGTAGAATGTGTATAATAAGCTGTCAATAAGAAGACAGAGATTAAGTTTATAAAATATCTGAAGGTGAGGAGCAAAAGTTAAATGTGACATACAATAAATATCCCTCCCTGTAGGTTTAGGGATGCTGAACTAAATATATAAATATAATAAATGATCAACTGTTCATATAATTGCTTAGATAAACAATCTCTGAACAAGGAATACCACTCGCACTGAAATCCATGTTTCATCATGTTAGCTATGCTTTTTTTTGTTTATTTGGACAGGAATCTAAGGCTTCCTGTTACACAACAACAGCTTCCGGGCACACCAATATAATTTTACATGCACACTCAGGTAACCCTGTATTTCAGTGTATATGCCCACATTGTCAGTGCGTGTGTGACAGTTTTCAGTGTGCGTGTGTCTGTTTTTTTTTAATGTTTTCACCCTAATCGGCCTCTCATAGAAAACCATCTTGGACAACTCCTCTCATCCTCTCTCTGCTGAGCTGATGCAGCTCAGGAGCTCCTTCAGCCACAGACTCATTCAGAAAATATTAACAGCCACAATACAGACTTAAGTGAAACTACCCAAAACAAAAGGGTATGTAGGAGCCATACACTGGGTTTGTTTGGGTTTTTATTGGGTTTCCTCTCTTTTCTTTGCACTGTAGTGTACATGCACGCGCATCATGACGTCATCGGTTACTGTGGGTGTGACCGGGGGCGTGGTGTCTGTATTAATATGTGTGTGTGCTCACCTGTGGGGAAGCTTGGGTTGATCATGGCTGCAGGGTGAGCATGGGGAAGAACTTTCTGTTGACCGTTACCATCGTCGTCATCATTACTAACATCTTTCACTGATGTCTCTGAGGTACCTTTTGCACTGCTTACAACATGCATCACTCAAAGTAAGTGATTGGTTTTCTATGTATGTGAAATAGCGTAATAAAGAGACTCAATATGTACGATGGTTCAGCGTGACGCGTCTTCAGTGTAAATCCTCATGTTTCAGCCTGCTGCGGCGTTTTAGTTGTTTTGGTGGGTCTGGTTTGTTTGTTTTACTGGTATACGCCGCAATATTGTGTCAACAGAAAGTTGTTGTTGCGCTGATTCAAACATATTGTCAGGACTACACTGGATGTTTGCAATCGCTTTCAAATGTTGTAAGCGATAGATAGCCAGCGCTTTAGGACTCACGTAAGCCCATTCATTCACAAATTGGCTGATTACTATTCTCATTTTGTCATCGCAGTCGTCTTTATCACAAGGTATAAAACATTGAACTTTGTGGATTGTCTGTTAAGAACTAATTGTATTCCCTGCTAGGCTCAGCGGTACTTTCGCATAAGGTGATTGTACTGTTTGTTTGTTTTGGGACTTTTTGTAGTGTTTTGGTTCGTGCGTTAAGCGGGTGAAGCATTGCGCTTGGGAGTGCCGCCTCGGTTCTGGTTCTAAGACGGTCAGTCTGGTTCAAGACTATCGGTATTTAGGTACATAAATACCCACCGCTAGTATGCACAGAAGACTAGGGTTGAGTTAGTTTAGCTTCAGTGAATAAGTTAGAGGGAATCAATGACAACACATTGTACCTTGTTCACATGGTATGTGTCATGAAATATGATATATGATATAAGTGATTAGGGCGCTGTTTAGCATGTCATTAGCAGATATTTTTTGTGATTATTGGATTAGTTTGTAAACGAAAATGGAGTTGAATGGTTCCAGGTCAATTGAGAAACAAAACTTACACCCAAGGCTTTTGAATATAAATTGGAGCAGCTCCAAGAAGAATGTCAAGTAAAAGTAAGAAAAATTAAAGATGCAATAAGAGAAATTAAAGACCTAATGCAAAGTGTTGGAAATGCTGAAAAAATACAGTCTTGAAAGTTTGTCGAGTTTGTTCACAGAAGCAAGTCATCTCCATGGCGTTGTTGTTCCTATGCTTCCACCTGAGGAACAAGAAAAACAAAATGCTTGGTTTTAGAGTGTTGAAGAACATAAAACTGCTTTTGTGGAGGAGACTAATAAATGGCTGCTGGAGGCGCCAGAGGCACCAGCTGAGGGCGTTGTTGCACCATGTTTAGGATCTGCTGTTTTCAGCGATAATGAGCTATGCATAGTCAAAACTGTGGAAAATGCAGAAGATGACGTTAGGCCAAGTGATAGTGTTTCCAATGTGTCATTGAGGTCAAAGAGATTCAGTACAGTAGTGAGTAAACCTCTGTCTACTACATCATCAGCCAGAATAAGAGCTGAGGCTGAGACTGCTGCCCTTATGGTTCGTCAAAAGCTGCTGAGTAAAAAGCATGCCCTGGAGGAACAGCAGAAACTGTTGAGGAGAAAGCAGGAGGTGCTGGAGATGGACATGGAGCTGGCAGCGTCTATGGCTAAAGTGAGTGTGTTCAAGGCTTCTCATGTTTCTGTGAGATCAGATGGGATGAACTCTTATTTGAAAAGAGGGAAAAGTACACAGTTGAGCCATGAAGCTCCAATATTTGTGCCGGAGTTCAACACTCAACCATTGGCTGCAGAGGCGATAGGGGAAGTTTCGCTTCCAGGTGATGCTTCTGTGAGGTCCAAGACATACAACAAAAGCCAGTTGCCTGCTGCTGTGACCTCGGCCGGTCAGTCCACTTTGCATAGTCTGCCTGCTGCTGTGACTGGGGTTGATCAGCACACTTTGCCAGAAGGTGTTTCTCATCCATCTATTACTAACTTTCTGTATGGAGATGGACCTGTAACTGTGAATAATTCTGATCAGCGTTCTCTCACAGTTTTAGAAAGGCAAAATCAAATCATGTCTTTATTGACAGTCACTTTTTCTCTTACCTAAGCGAGATCTACAAGTTTTTGATGGAGATCCACTGCAGTATCAAACTTTCATAAGAGGATTTGAACACAACATTGAGGCGAGAACGCAAAGTCAGACGGATTGTTTGTATTACCTCGAACAGTATACGAGAGGTCAGCCCAGGGATTTGATCTGAAGTTGTCAACATCTGCCTCCGTCCCATGGTTATAGTAAGGCAAAATCACTACTTCAGGAGCATTTTAGGGATCCATTTAAGGTAGCTTCTGCCCATATGGACAAGGTGCTTTCCTGGCCGATGCTTAAGGCCGAAGATGTCAAAGCTTTACGGGTCTACAGTTTATTGTTGCGGGAATGCTGCAACTCTATGGGAGTTTCTGCAAGTGATCTGAACGTACCTACGAATATGCAAATCATTGTGAAAAAACTGCCTTATAAACTGAGGGATTATTGGAGAAGTGTGGCCTGCGATATTCATGAGAAGTCTCATCGCAGAGCTATGTTCTCAGATATTGTAAAGTTTGTTGAGAGGCAAGTCAAGATGGCGAGTGACCCTCTTTTTGGAAATATACAAGAGACATCTGCGAGTGGAAGAAATGAAGCAAAAATGGTCCGGTCTCAACCTCGTTCAAAGGTTAGAGGCAGTAGTTTCACTACTACTGTAGCACCTGCTGAGAATAAGGTGGAGCCTGGGTTTAAAAGGGAGAAGAACTCACTAGTGAAAGTTTGTTTGTTTTGTGGGGCTGGGCATTCGTTAGATGTTTGTTTTAGTTTGGATAAAAGAACACAAGATGAGAAAATTTCCTTTTTGAAGGAGAACCGTATGTGTTTTGGATGTGCGTCGGACACATGAGTAAAGACTGCCGAAAACGTATGACATGTAAAGTATGCAATAATAAGCATCCCACGTTGTTGCATATCTACCCCACAGCAAAACCAACGAGTCCGACTCAGGCCAATGGTGGCTTGAATATGGCCAGAGACGGTGCTGTGGTGTCTGTTCAGTCTAGTGGCTTGACTGGGGTCGGTAAGCAGGACTGTACGCTCTCTATCTTGCCTGTTCAAGTGAAATCTAAGAGGGGTCAGGAGACCTTGGTCACACATGCGTTTTTGGACCCAGGGAGTACCGCCTCGTTTTGTACAGAGCGACTCATGACTCGGCTCAATCTTACAGGGAAGAAGTTGGGATTTCTCCTTAGGACTATGGGGCAAGAGAAAGTGGTAGACAGTTACAAGTTGTCAGACTTGGAAGTCGTCGGGCTGGACTCGAACATCTTCTGTGGCCTGTCTGAGATTTTTACTCAGCAGAACATGACGGTTCATCGAGGTAACATTCCAAGCTCAAAAGACCTTCAAAGATGGCCGCACCTAAGACACATAAAAATACCAGAGATCAATTCTGATGTGGATCTTCTGATTGGCACTAACGTTCCTCAAGCTCTGGAGCCATGGGAGGTGGTTCGTGCAGAGAACAGGCGATTATTATGCGATTAAGACCATCTTGGGTTGGACGGTGAATGGCCCGCTCCATGGAGATTGTCATATCAGTGAACAATGTTTGCAGCCTGACATCACAGTCAATCGGATCTCGGTGGCGAGGCTTGATAAGCTTTGGGAGAAGCAGTTGAAGGTAGATTTCCCTGAAACTCTGCAGGATGAACAACCTGGTCTGTCAGTGGAGGATAAGCGCTTCATTGAGTTGGTCTCAGAGTCTACTAAGCTCATTGATGGTCATTATAGTATTGGTTTGCCGGTGAAGCAAAGACACCTCAAAATGCCAAGCAATAAGACAGTGGAACAACAGCGTGCATTGAGTCTTAAAAGATGTTTGAATAAGGATCCATCTTTTTGCTTCGATTACATCGCATTCATGTCTAAGATGTTGGTTAACGGCTATGCAGAGAGAGTTCCAACCGAGCAGTTGACCCGTTGTGATGGAAGGGTATGGTATATACCTCATCATGGGGTGTATCATTCTAAGAAGAAAAAACTGCGAATAGTCTTTGATTGTGGAGTTACGTTTCAGGGGACATCGTTGAACTCACAGCTTCTTCAGGGACCAGATCTCACAAACTTGTTAGTGGGAGTGCTTCCACGATTCCGTAAAGAACCTGTAGTGCTCATGGGAGATATTGAGGCCATGTATCAACAGGTCAGAGTGCCGGCTGAAGACTCTGATCTGTTAAGATTCCTGTAGTGGCCTGATGGAGATTGCAGTCGGGAGCTGGTGGAGTATAGAATGACGGTACACCTGTTTGGTGCTACTTCCTCTCCCAGTTGTGCCTGTTTTGCCTTGAGGAAGTGTGTTGAAGACAATCAAAAGTGCTTCAGTTCTAATGCAATTAACCCAGTCTTGCACCATTTCTACGTTGATGATTGTCTGTTGGCTCTGAAGAGGAAGCAGTTTCTTTATGTCGAGAGCTTAGTGCCTTGTGTGCGGAAGGTGGTTTTAAGCTCACAAAATAGGTTAGTAACCGACACTCTGTTCTCGCTACTTTTCCTCAAGAAGAGCTCGCCAAGGAGGTGAAAGATCTGGATTTAAATAGTGACGCTCTGCCTGTAGAGTATATCTTGGGTGTACAGTGGTGTGTCCAATCTGACTCATTCAAGTTTAAAATTACGCTTAAAACTCACCCACTCACAAGAAGAGGAATCTTGTCTGTGACTAGTTCGATCTATGACCCTCTTGGTTTCTTGGCACCTGTTGTTTTGTCTGCCAAGAAAATCCTTCAAGACCTCTGTAGGAGACGTTTGGGATGGGACGAACCTTTGCCCTCTTTAGTGACTAGAGAATGGAAGAGCTTCATGAGCTTGAAAGTTGGGAAGTTAGTAGATGTTTAAAACCTGTGGACTTTGGTTTTCTTGTTTCTGTTCAACTTCATCACTTTGCAGACGCAAGTGAGGAAGGGTTTGGGACTGTGACTTACCTGTTGCTCCATGATGATAGCGGGCGAACTCACAGTGTATTCATAATGGGAAAGGCACGAGTAGCTCCTTTAAAACTTGTCACCATTTCTCGGATGGAGCTGACTGCCGCGGTGATGGCTAGCAGAATGGACAAGTTGTGGAGGAAGGAGTTGCAAATGGACCTTCAAGAGTCTGTCTTTTGGACAGACAGCACTTCTGTTTTGAAATATATAAACAACGAGACATCCAGATTTAAAATCTTCGTATCAAACAGAGTGTCTGAAATATTGAAAATATCTAATGTATCCCAATGGAGGTACGTGAATACGTAAGCCAACCCTGCAGATCTAGCCTCCAGAGGTGTTAAAGTTCAGTTATTTCTAAACACTGGTGCATGGCTCCGTGGTCCTGACTTCCTTCATGAGCCTGAGAGCAGTTGGCCCCAAAATCCTGAGACCTTGGAAAACACTCTGATTGGTGACCCGGAGGTCAAGGCTGTGATGGTGAATGCGGCTCAGGTTGAGCAGGTCAGTCCAGTGGAGAGGCTCATTGATTACTTTTCCTCCTGGTTCCGTCTTAAAAGGGCTGTTGATTGGCTTCTCAAGTTTAAGACCTTACTTCTGTCTCTGGTGCGACATCGAAAGCTGCTGAGAGGAACCGTTTCTGAATCGGAACAAAGTGCTGAGCAGTTGGAAAAAGAGCTACAGGTCCAGATGAAAGGCTTTAAGGCTCAAGTGCCAAAGGGTTTTCTGTCTATGGAGGATATGGTTGTAGCGGAGTCATCTATTATCTGTTTTTGTCAAAAAACAATGTTTCCGGAGTAACTGGCCAACTTGAAGAAAGGAGAGTGTGTAAGGAGGACGAGCCACCTCTACAAGCTCAACCCGATGCTGGATGGTGATCTCATTAGGGTTGGAGGACGGCTTAGTAGAGCAGCTATGCCAATTGAAGCAAAACATCCAGTTATACTGGCTACGAGAAATCATCTCGATAAACACATGTTCAATCAAACACATCTTAATCTTATTCGCCATGTAGTTTACTGTGTGGACGGATGGACAGCAGAGACCAACATGTGTCCTCTCCCCTCTCGTGGTGTCTGTCCATGCAGATCCAGCAGCTTCATTTGTCTCTCTGAGAAGTAAAGCAGTTTCATACTGTAGGGACTCTTTCCTCAGTAGAAGTAGTTCAGACACAGTCTGAGTAGAGGACGGACAGACTGGGGACACATTTGGAAAACAAGGACAAAGATTCAAAGGTTCTAGGAAATAATAAACTTCACATGTTTAATATTTCAGCTGTTTGTTCAGGGTCAGAAATGCTGATGTCTGTATTCAGATGGGAAATAATATCAATAATCAATAATCTCCAAACAAGCAGAAAGCAGATGAAAGTAAAATGTCTCCTGTCTGATGGTGCGGAGGACGACTTGACTGACAGCTGTAGAAATGAGCAACATGAAGTCAGCGTGCAGCTGCAGCAGAGGAGTTAGTCTCTCCTTTCTGCAGCTGGGACTCAAGTTGTCTGAGAACAGGGTTTGAAATGCTGCTGAGTTCACATGTGCTGTTTTATAGAGACCTGATCTCTGCTGCTTCCATCAAAAGATGTTTGAACAACAGGAAACATTACAAGTCCTGACTGGAGGCTTTTCTCTTTCTGTTCAGAGACACAGGAGGTGACAGTGAAGCCTGGAGAGGACGCCACTCTTCCCTGTCGGGGTCACAGAGGTGCTGACATAGTAGTGATAAAGTGGATCAGACCTGACCCGAAGTCAGGTGATGGTTTTGTCTTCTTCTTCAGAGACGGCCGCTCATATGAAAACTACCAGCATGAATCTTTTTGTGGTCGAGTGGAGCTGAGAGATCCAGAGATGAAGGACGGAGACGCTTCTGTGATTCTGAAGAACGTCAACATCAACGACACTGGAACATATGAGTGTCGGATTAGAGAGGAAAATGTATCTGTACTCACCGGCATCGTCAGGCTGACAGTGACAGAGCCAGGTGAGTGTGTAGAGCTCAGAGTGTCTCTTTGTCTCTCAGGTCAGCGTGTAGAGCTCAGAGTGTCTCTTTGTCTCTCAGGTGAGCGTGTAGAGCGCAGAGTGTCTCTTTGTCTCTCAGGTGAGCGTGTAGAGCTCAGAGTGTCTCTTTGTCTCTCAGGTCAGCGTGTAGAGCTCAGAGTGTCTCTTTGTCTCTCAGGTGAGCGTGTAGAGCTCAGAGTGTCTCTTTGTCTCTCAGGTGAGCGTGTAGAGCTCAGAGTGTCTCTTTGTCTCTCAGGTGAAGCGTGTAGAGCTCAGAGTGTCTCTTTGTCTCTCAGGTGAAGCGTGTAGAGCTCAGAGTGTCTCTTTGTCTCTCAGGTGAGTGTGTAGAGCTCAGAGTGTCTCTTTGTCTCTCAGGTCAGCGTGTAGAGCTCAGAGTGTCTCTTTGTCTCTCAGGTGAAGCTGCTTCCTGGTAGTTGAGCTGAGAAACATCACAGATCAGATGTTTGTGTTTTAGAAAGATGTTGCTGATGAGACTTTAGAGGAAACAGCTGCTACGAGTCATGTGATCAAAGTGCAGTAGATAATGTCTGACATTCTGTCCACCTGCTGACAGCTGATACCTCACACCTGTTTCTGCTCTGCAGGTCACACAGCTGGACACAAGGAGGAAGGAGACAAGGAGGGAGGAGGCAAGGAGGGAGGAAACAAGGAGGGAAATGTTGGACTGAGAGTCGGTCTGCCAGTTTGTGTGATTCTTCTTCTTCTTCTTGGTGTTGGTGGTTTTGTGATCTTTAAAAAATATAACAGACCCAAAGGGAATCAACAACCTGCTATAAACAGACATGAACTGCAGAACCTGCAGTGAGATTAAGAGACCAGAGGCAGCAGATGAGAATTAGTGAGGATCCAGACTGAAGTCACTCTGGTTACTGTGGGGAGCAGTGATTGGTCGTTACTCTCTGGCTGCTGATTGGTGGACTGAACGTGCTGCTGGACAGAAGAAACACATTCCTCCTGTAAAATAAACCTGAGCTGTTGACACACGTCTGATTTCACCTGGAGGCAGGTTAATGCCAGATGGGCTGACTGACCAGCTGCTCTGTGGGACAAACAATATGACCTGATGCTGGAACAGCCAGCTGATTGTTAATTACAGGAAGTGGTACAGACCGTCGGCACCTCCCCCCACCCCTTCAAGTGGATCCATCCATCCAGGTAGAGTCAGAGGTCAAATCAAATTAAACGGGTAAAAGACCGAGAGAGAGAAAAAGCTCCAAATGTTTTAAATCAACAGTTACTGATGTCAGTGCCGCTCAACATCCTGCTAGCTGCAGTTATAACACTAACAGTCTGTTCTGGATGACGGAGCTGGACTTTGTTCCCAGTCCGACCCTGAAGAGCTCAGTCCCTGTTGTTCACTCACCGACCTGCATCAGAGGGGAAAAGATCCTGTTTGGATTCACTGCAGCTCTGTTTTCCTGCATGAGGACATTTTTCATCGTCTTCTCTGAGAGCTGCTCAGGAACTCTGACTGTGAAATGTTCTTAGACAACGATACAGATAATTAATACTTCAAGTACATTTTCCTGATTGTTCTCTTTCTCTTGGACTTTTACTTCAGTAACATTTTCAATGCAGGACTTGTATTTATTTAGTAGTGTGTTATGGGTACTTTTACTTTAGTTTCTGTATACTTGATCCACAACTGCTTTTCTCAGTCTGTAACAAAAGGAAACAAATGATCTTGGTTATTTCTCCTGTAACCAACTTTCTGATGCTGAACTGATCTCTGCTGCAGAGACATGAGGCTGTGATGTGTCTGTTTCTGGCAGCGTCCACTGTTGGCAGATATTTCTGTATCTTTGACTTTAAACACAATATAAAACTAAAGTCAAAATGTTACTTGAGTCAGAGTACAGATCCATGATGTTGGTAAAACTGTATCTATGTGTTGAATGTAGGTATGTAGAATCTTAATCCACAGAGTACGTGCATGTTTTTATTTCACACAATCAGAGCTGTTGATCCTGTTAATGTTGCTTGGAGCTGGAATCAAAAGCAGCTCAACCAAAACCCTCCTGAGCTTCCAGGCAGCCGTCCGGCTATCAGGTTACAGACAGCGAGCGTTATGTCCTCATTTTAAAACCATGAAGCTGACAGTCCAGTCTGACTCTTTATTTACATTCTAACAGACTTTAAATCAGTTATTTGTTGACCTTTGAGCAGCTTCCTGCCTTTAGAGCAGACGTGACCAAAAGTCAGTAAAGTCAATAAAACAGGATTATGAACTTTCTTTAACTGTAACTTTGTAGCTGAGAACTGAAAGTGAACTCTGAAGGCTCTAAATGTCTGGACCTGTTTGTAAACAGATAATAACATGGAGGAACTTTTAGAGGGCAGAGTTTGCTATGAAGCAGCTCTGAGCTCATTTTGTCTTCACCCCCCCCCCTCTTAGTCAGGATGTGAGATCAGTTCTTCCTCATTACTGTTGGCTGGTAGAAACTGACTGCTGCTCTTTTATTCAGGGTTTAATGTTCTCCAGTGCTGTGCCGGCGTTTTATATTCGACAATATGTAATTATAATAATAATAATAATAAATGTAATATAATAATATAATAATAAACAGTGATAAGAGTGTGCATTGCAAAGTTTTTAGGCAAAATGAACTTAAATGAACTTATCACACGCCTCTGGAGCAACTAGAGGTTAAGTGTCCTGCTCAGGGACACATTGGTGGATGTGTCACAGTGGGGGATTGAACATTAAAGGCATGTGTCTTATCCACTGCTCCACCACCACCCAGTACAGCAGCTGTTAACACGGAGGCTTTTCTTCCTCTGATGATCAGTCAGAGCTCAGTCTCTACACAGCAGCTGCATGTGAACTCCTCCGTCACTGTAAACTGTCTGTGGTAAATATTTTAGTTTGTGTTCTTGATTTTTTTCTCACATACGCAGTGAACAGACACCACAGGGAGGACGATCCTGTAAGATACAGTTAGACTTTTAACTGGAAAGAAACTCTCCCATCCTGTTCCTGTTAATGTGCAGTCATAGTCTGGAGCTTTTCTTCTTTGTCTTTAGAGACATTTTCTTCAGACTTTTATACAAATACTGCACCTCATGAAATGAGCCATTAAACTACATTTTCAAAACTAGAAAGACCTCTCTATGTCTCCTCAAGTAAAGTCATCACATCAGCTGAGAACGATAAAGAAATAAACCCTATCACTGGTGCTTTTCACTCTGCTGGCTTTGACTCTGTTTTGCTGTTGCTCTCATCTCTGCTGTCTCATGTTCACCATGTCAGAGCTGGTACTGGGGCCGCCGAGCTCCATTTGACAAACCTATTCAAATAAAAGCATTAAAGTACTTTAAGTACCCAAATGTCCACTGCTGGTCACTTCCTGTCAGCACAACTCCATCTCTTAGGGAACTTCCACCCCTACTAACCACACTAGCTCCACCTTATAGCTCCCCCAGCGGTGACTTGCTAAGAGATGATGCAATACCTGCATTACATTTAAATAAACTTGTTCTTACTGCCACACAAAGAGGTCTTGTTGGAAGTAATCTTATGATCTTGGACTCAGAAATAGCTCTCCAAGCTGACTCAGATGTTCCCTTGTCTGGCTACATTATTTATAGTGTGGGGAGAGGTGGTGGTGTTGCACTTTATGTAAAGTGCTGCTTAAATGTTTCTGTATCCTTATGAATGTCTACTTTAAATATATATATATATATATATATATATATAATCTGATTGATGCATCACGTGTTTGTGCAACTCTGAATGGCTGATTATGGTTGACCTGATGGTTTTTTACCTGTAGCAGACACATTTTAAGACATTCGTACTGAGCTTAATCTGACTCAGCTCCTAACCAAACCGACCCGCCCACACCTTAAAAACCTGTAAAAATCTACTCTGCTAGACGTTGTTTTAACAAATACTCCCTGTAAATGCGCAGCCAGTGGGGTCTTTGCTGATGTCATCAGTGACGACTGGCCTATTGCAGGAATACGAGACTCAACTACCCCGACCCCAGTTTCCTTTCCAAGAGTAGAGTAGAGCCCTGAATGCAGTTCACCACTGTGCCCTCAGGTTTATCACTGACAACACTTACTGTTATTATCACTGTGATCAAAATGTGGGATGGGCCTCTCTCTCTGTGAGGCGTGAGCAACATGCTCTCTTCTTTATCTATAAAGCTCTTCTTTCAGAACTACCTCCACAAATATCTACTTTCATTTCTCCAGACTTAAAGAGACTCCAGTGGTCTCCACAGAGCTGAGCAGGACTGCTTTTACTTCCTTCGCTCCATATTTATGGAATAAACTGCAGACCAAACTCGAGCAAAACTTTATTTAAAGAATCAATACGATGTGGTTTGTTATTGTTCCACTAGAATTGTACATTTTGGTTTGAAATGTTTTGATCTGTTTTCATATATTCACTTGTTTTTACATTAATTAACATGAATAATTAACATTCCCTCTTCAAATAAAGTGTTAAAAAGTACAAGTTCCTCTGTGTTTTAATATTGTTCAGTTTGCTCTTCTCTTTTTGTTAGAAGTGTTTCATGTGCATCAGTTAGAAACAGCCACTGTGTAACACGGTTATTTCTAGAGAATGCACTTTGCTTCTTGATCGGCCCAAACTCTTATTTAGCTATTTCTGTTTAATACAATTATTTTACTTTCTTTAATCTGCATGAAGGTGTCGATAAGATCACTTTAAAATATCCCACTTGCTGCCTCGCCTACTGTTGCCTGTAGTCTGTTGTTCTCTTGTAGACAACAAAACCACTTGCTTTGTTACTGAGGGAGCTGCGTATGATCTGCCTTCTCCAGCAGCACAGGTACCCGACACCATCTGATTATTCCTAAATATTTACAACTCAAAGAATTATTGTGGCAACAACACTGGAACAGACCGTTGTTGACTAAAGTAGCATAAGACTACATATAGAGGGAGACGTGTGCATCTCAGGACTGTTGAATACTCTCCCTCTGCAGCTCAGAACAGCTGCTAGTCTGACTAATGATCATCATTATAAAACAAATCGCAACCAAGCGAATTACAGAAAATAAATAATTTCTATCAAAAGAAAGCCAGGCTTTGTGTAACGAGAGGTCCTGCTGATTTATCACAATCAATCCAATGATTTTTAAACAGTGTGGAGCCTACATTTATTCTGCAGAGACTAAACACACTTTGACACGTCACTAATGGAAAGTGAAAGTATTTCTGCAGCTTCGGGTCACACAGGCTGTTTTCCAACACAGTGTGCAGTTACAGGAACTGAGTAACATTAGTAGAACAACCTGAAACAGAAAAGGTTTTTCCCTGATGTTGTAGATCAGGGGTATTCAATTAGATTTCAAAGAGGTCTAGTTAGAGAAAATTTCCTGAAGCAAAGGTCCGGAACATCAAAACGACGAACTTGCGTTATCATTCAGTACTATAACCTATAGTTGTATCAACACATGTTTTTAGTCAACAATGGACTGTCAAATCAAATAATATTTCAGTCAGTTTTCACATCAAACTGGAAGGATAATAAATAATAACTATTCAAATAATAAATTCTAAATTTAAGTAAACTAAATTAAAGTGCCTAATTTTTAGAAAAAATGTAACAAAAAGTGTAGCTTGAACGGACGGCGGCTGGGTCCGGATCCGGGCCGCGGTCCGCCTATTAGTGACCTCTGTTGTAGATGTTTGAAGTTAATGCCCAAATTAACATTAGCTTGTTAAATCTACCTTCCTCTTTCCTCGTCTCTCTCTGCCTCTCCTCAGATGCGTTCTGCCAACTGTGTTACTTTGTTGTTTTTAGCTTCTCAATACTTATTTACTCCTCATTTCTCACATTAAAGCCCAACAGTTTGTGCAGGAAATTATATTTTCTGACTTCTGCGACAAATTAATAAAATAAGGTTTATTATTATTATTATTACAGCCAGAAAACCCTGTTTGAGTGTTCATATGAGAACCTGACTGCTTCTCTTCATTATGTCGCTGTGTTTCTGAGAATCTCATGAAAACCAGGACCTGCTGATTTATTTGATGTGTGATATCTCTGAGAGAAGAAGACTGAATCTCCTCCATAGTTAACAGACTGAGAATCAAAACTCTATTAACAGAAACAGACTCTGTACTGAAGCTGAACGAGGTCGATGCTGTTCAGGTCTGTGGTTGTGGTTTTGTTTATTCTTAGTTTTCTGAACTGAAGAGAGGTGAGTATCTGTTAGCCGCAGCCAAACCAGAGAACTTTTTCAAATTTTCCATCCGACAGCTTTGTGAAACCCAAAGAACCACAGGAGGAAAACAAGAACGAGAAGAAGTTTATTGAACCTGCAGAGAAACAAGTTGCCGGGGCAACAAGAGTAAAAAATCGTTAAAGTCATTAAATATAAATAACAGTAAAGTTTGTTTATATATATATATGTGTATGCATGTATGTATGTATGTGAGTGTGTGTGTGTTTATATATTTACACATATATTTTAACAATTTATTAAATCTTTAGTTTCAGTTTTTTCATGTCACTGATTTTACACATAAAAACATCTAAAAATGTTGCACTAAATCGGAATCAGCCTACAAATGTTGCTTGACATTTAGCACGTGTTAAATGTCAGGTGACTTCTGTAGCGTACTGAAAGTCCAGTATGCCTGTCGCTGGGCGTCGTACGTCATTTTGGGGAACGGTCATACATGTCATTGTTCTGTCCAACAGACATTTACAGTATGTCATTTTGGGAAATTTAACATTCAACCTATTTTGTCATTTATGTATGAGGATTTGTCTCTTTGTAGCTGCATGAGTCTAATTTAGCTTTGACAGTGAAATCATTGACAGTGAGTGCTGAACGTGAGAGGCTGCGTCGTTGTTTCTAAAGTCCTCAGTTTTGGCCCATCTTCACTAAAACGCCCTCCGGAGTTTAGAAACGCAAAACGGGGTTGGCAGCATTTCCAAACTTCTCTGTTTTAGGTCTTTGTTTTCAGTGTTGTAGTCTGGACGGGGAGGCAAACGTAGCAAAAGGTCTCTGTTTTAATAAAAAAATGCAGTAGTGTGGATGGGGCCTCAGTGAAGAGTAGACGACCTCTGGCTCTGCTGGAAACTCTGAACACACAAACACAAACAGTTCAAACAACATGAGAAACTGTTGGAGACAAAGAAACTTCATCACCAGACAACAACTCTATTTATTATATTAATTATATTAAAATTGAAATTTCTGTGCTGATTTCTGTTTTTTTCCCGTTCTCTCAGATTAGTTTTTTCCTGTAACCTTCTTTAAATGTGCACGTGGCATCTTTTCACCTGCATGATAAATACAACCACATATAAAGAGGTTACTCCCCCGAACCAAATGCACCAAAGAGGAGGGAAGACTAGATCATGCCTGCATGTATGTTTATGAAAATAAATGAGAAAAGTTGATCTACGGTAGAAAACTTGTCTGAAAGCAACACAGAATGCTGCATTATATGATTCATTGTTACTGCATTATATTTTTATATTTTGAATTGTTACCTGCAGCCTGAATTTAGTGTTTCCCTTTAAATAAATTAAGACATTCCCGCCATAAGTTGATACAGAAAAATGCAGAAATTGTCAGCAGACTGCAGTTTTAATCCCCTTCAATGTTGAAGCAAAACATACGCTCTTACATTGCAACATCCAAATGTTTCAAAAACTTCCCTAGAATGCACGATCTGTGGGATAAAACAAATTACTGGGGCAACAATTCCCAGATACCTGCTCAAGTTTGATCTCCTAATTTAGGATGAAGTCTGAAAGATAGCATGTAAGCTGATCAACCTTATTCATCATTGACCATGACTACTGACTTGTCTTTAGATAATTGAACACATTAAACATTAACATTAAAATTGTGAGGAAGCAGTTAGCTTAGCTTAGCTTAGCTTAGCTTAGCATAAATACTGGACGCTGTTAGTCGTGCTCTGATCTGCTGTGGAGTGATTTTGGTTTTTGGTTCCTGTTCTCAAAGTTTTGGTTTTGTGTTCTCTGTTTAGTCTATTGTTCCTGACCCTTTTCATTCTGTGCTCTCTGTCTTGCCTTGTTCCTGTCTGGTATGCATGCTGTTCTGTGTCTTCTGTTAACTTTGTCAAGTCTGTCCTTGAGTATTGTCGCATGCATTACTTCCTGTTTTACTTTGCTATCCTCCTAGTGTCTGGTGATCATGTCTAGCTTTGTTCCTCTTCTGTCTAGTTTGGTTTAGCTTTGTCTGATTTATTGCGTTACCTCTGCCTGGTTTATTGTACTTTTTTATTGTACGGGACCTGTGCATCTCCTGCTCGTTTGTTCCTGTATTTAATGTGCTCAGTTCTGTTTAGTCCTTGTGCATCCTCGTGTAATGTTGAGTGTTCTGTCCTGCCACTGTATTATTTGATTATTCTGTTTCTGGATTTCTGAGCCTTTGTTGGATTTACCCCTGTGTTTGAACTCTTGCCTGCCTGTGCTCCGACGTGAGCCTGTTTTTGTTTATTTAATTAAATTCCTAGAACTGCACCCTC